ACCGATTGGAGGCCAGTGGAGGGATTGGCAGAGAGGGGTGGAGGACACTGATAGGAGGCCAGTGGAGGGATTGGCAGAGAGGGGTACTTACACTGCTTACATTTAAAAAAAACACATTTAAGATTGATGCTTTCGGGGTTGTGGCCACCATGGAGATGTGTTGCATATATGGTGGTCATGCCCGAAACTGATTGGTTTTTGGTCTCGTGTGTTTGGCCTCCTTTTCACCTTGTTCCATCTCTCCATACGTCGGGATGCTCGGTGCGCTTTGCTTCATTGTCCAATACCGGGCCTGTTGGCCCAACAGCAGAAGTTGGCTACCTATTTGATCTTGTCGGCAACAAGATTGCTCAGGCCTGGAAGAGCCCATCTGTCCTTCTTCAGGGAATGCGAGACCATATGACCACTCTGATGCTTAATGAAAAGATGTCAAGTATCTGTAACGACTCCCAACAGAAATTTTTGAAAATATGGGAGCCGTGGTTGACGCATGCTTTTCCCACGCCCCCCCCCCCCGCTAGTCTGGGTTTGTGATGTTGTTTGACATTGGCGTTCCTGGACCCCAGCTCCTGGTCTTGTCTTCTTTGTTCGGTCTCTCCAATCTAAGCATTGATAGTGTGATCTCTGTAACGTACAGTTATGATGAGATAGTGATAACTCCAACCTCAGTTGGATACCACAGGCAGTGACTCAATCGGATGACATCTTGTAGATCTTGTGAAGTTTAATCCATAAACTGAGAGAATCTTACAACAATGAACATTCGATAGGTCAAAAGATCATAATGTTTCCTGCTCCATGACATGAGGCTAGAACTGCAATGCATCTCTGGGAAAGGGGGAGGGCTATCTATACAGGATTAACTAAACCAAAGGAAAGGGAGGAGCAGAAACAAAATATAGATACTCTTAAAGGCATATTAGTCATGTGAAACATGACATTCTTCCTTTTCTACTCCTTTTTCCTTTCTATTTTTGTTTGTCTTTTATGAGGCGGTGGATAGCGGCCTTTGGTTTGAGCTACTGTCCGTGTTACATCACTGTTCTTGTAATTTACGTGCCATTGATAGCCCCTGAGTGGGCGTGGCTTGTTGCTAAAGTCTTGTTGAAATGTTTACTAAATTAATAAAAACCATTGAAATACAAAAACACATTTAAAAGTATAACATTTATAAGTAGCAAAGCAATGTTTTCACTTCTGGAGTGGAGGGGGATTAGAACCTCGGTCAGGTTATTGTGCTGTCTGTGCCCCTGTAAGAGAGATTTGTTTATGTGTTCTGTTATCACTGAGAGTGAAGAAAATCCCAAATTTTGTGTCATCACCAGAAAAGGAATTATATCTTCCATTGGGGACACTATCTCTGGTGACAACCAGGGATTTCCTGTTGTGGCTATGGGACAAGACATAAAGGAAAATCTCGCCAAAAGGGACACAGATGGCAAAAAGAAGACTGGCAGGGGGTTATAACCCTCCCCCCTTATGCTATCCAAAATGAGAAAAAAAAAAAAAGTTTTACCTTTGTTGTACTTTAATGATGTATTAATGATTACAGATCTGCATTAAAGTGGTTTTAAAAGGCTGAAGGTGCATTCTAGGTATGAAGGTAAAAAAAACTTCTGTGTGCTTCCCCTCCCCACAGCCCCCCCAATACTAACCTGAGCCCTGCCTCAATCCAGTGATGATCACGGGAGCCTCGGCTACACTGGGTCTCGCTTTCCTCATTGGCTGAGACACAGCAGTGGGAGCCATTGGCCTCGGTTCTCCTGGGTCTCTCTTTCCTCATTGGCTGAGACACAGCAGTGGAAGCCATTGGCTGAGACACAGCAATGGGAGCCATTGGCCTCGGCTGTCCTGGGTCTCTCTTTCCTCATTGGCTGAGACACAGCAGTGGGAGCCATTGGCCTCGGCTGTCCTGGGTCTCTCTTTCCTCATTGGCTGAGACACAGCAGTGGGAGCCATTGGCCTCGGTTCTCCTGGGTCTCTCTTTCCTCATTGGCTGAGACACAGCAGTGGGAGCCATTGGCCTCGGTTGTCCTGGGTCTCTCTCTTTCCTCATTGGCTGAGACACAGCAGTGGGAGCCATTGGCCTCGGCTGTCCTGGGTCTCTCTTTCCTCATTGGCTGAGACACAGCAGTGGGAGCCATTGGCCTCGGCTGTCCTGGGTCTCTCTTTCCTGATTGGCTGAGACACAGCAGTGGGAGCCATTAGCCTCGGCTGTCCTGGGTCTCTCTTTCCTCATTGGCTGAGACACAGCAGTGGGAGCCATTGGCCTCGGTTCTCCTGAGTCTCTCTTTCCTCATTGGCTGAGACAGCAGTGGGAGCCATTGGCCTCGGCTGTCCTGGGTCTCTCTTTCCTCATTGGCTGAGACACAGCAGTGGGAGCCATTTGCCTCGGTTCTCCTGGGTCTCTCTTTCCTCATTGGCTGAGACACAGCAGTGGGAGCCATTGGCCTCGGTTGTCCTGGGTCTCTCTTTCCTCATTGGCTGAGACACAGCAGTGGGAGCCATTGGCTCCCACTGCTATCAATTACAGCAAGTGAGCCAATGAGGAGAGAGCGAGGGATGGGACAGAGACACAGACCTATGTGTCCTGTGGATGCATAAAGCAGGGCTCGGGAGTGAGCATGCACCAGTGCCGCCATAGCAAGTGGCCTGCAATTGGGGGCACTATTCCACTGGTAGGAGCCAGAAGCACCGGAGGGGGAGCCGAGAGGAAGAGGATCTGTGCAAAACCATTACAGAGCAAGTAAGTAAAAAGTGTTTGTGATTTTAAAAAAAAAAAAAAAAAAAAACAAAGTTTTAATATCACTTTAATTTGCGTCTTTTATATCTGCCTGGAGTTCAGCTTCAACCACTTGGCCTCCGGAAGATTTCCCCCCTTCCTGACCAGACCATTTTTTGCAATACAGCGCTGTGTTATTTTAACTGGCAATTGTGCGGTCATGCAACACTGTACATAAATGAAATTTATGTCATCCCCCCAAGTAGTTTTTGTTTGGTGGTATTTGATCACTTCTGCGTTTTTTACTTGTTGCGTTCTAAACAAAAAAAAAAAAAAAAAAAATTTTTTATTTTCTGCTATGAAACACGTGCAATAAAAATTTTAAAAATCAAATTTCTTCACAAATTTAGGCCAAAATGTATCCTGCTACATATTTTTTAGCGTAGATCGATAAGTTTGCACAAAAGTTATAGCGTCTAAAAACTATGGGACATATTCTGGAATTGTATTTATTCTAATACTAATAATGGCAGCCATCAGCGACTTATAGCGGGACTGCGATATTGCGGCGGATATTTTTACACTGACACTTTATGGGAACCAGTGACACTAATACAGTGATCAGTGCTAAAAATATGCACTGACACTGTACCAATGATACTGGCTGTGAAGTGGTTAAAAATCTAGGGTGATCAAAGGGTTAACTGTGTGCCTAGCTATGTGCTTGGTGAACACTAGGTGGTACTAGGGTAAGTGAAGGATCCTGTTCCCAGCTTTGCAACTCCACCTGTCAGAACAGAGCTCTGCCTTGTTTACCTAGGCAGAGCTCTGTTCTGTGCCCTGCCCAATGATCGCCAGGTGCCGGTGGACATCTGTTCACCGGCACTTGCAGATAGGCTTCTGCTTTGACTGTTCCGCCGACGGCGTGCGCCCGTTACCCCCTATGGTGGAAGTGCAAAATCATGTGTGTGCATGCATGCATGTGTGTGTGTGTATATATATATATATATATATATATATATATATATACATACATACATATACATATACATATACATACATACATACATATACATATATATATATGATTTTGCACAGGACGGCCACCACCCTGTAGCAGTAAAACTGCTATAAGGCAGACCTTAAGTGGTTAATTCACTAACTTCTCATATGAGATTTAGCACATTAGGGGTATATCAGTGTTTTCACCCGAGATTCACATTTTTTTCCTGATGTGAAAACAGGTGAATCTTGGGTGAGAGTTGGGTGAATCTCAGGTGAAATAATAGATAAACAGATCCCAATCATGTCATTTAAAAAGTACTTTTCAATTTTTTTTTTAATCTGCAGCTTTCATTAAGATTTTTCCTGGAGATCCTGCCAATACAGGTTTCTGTCAAGACACTTCCTGTTAGAGGGTGACAACACTCTGTCCCTGTCTCCCAGTTATTCTCCTGTGTTGTAGATTTAATCAGAAGCCTCTGAAAAATAACAAGTTGACAATTTAACACACTTTGTACAGGCATGGTGCACTGTAGACACCACCAAGGAACTCACTTTGAGAAATATCATGCAGCCATCGCTGCAGTGCATGTCTACGGGAAGTGGCTGCAAAAAGGATGCAGGAGATGAGCAGCACTGGGGTCACCACCCTGCCTCTCCACCTTGTCCAATCAGAGATGGCTATATGTTCATTCAGAAAATGCAAAGCATTCTCTGAATGGCACCCGTGTCCAGCAGCTGACCTCCTGTGTTCAGAATGCAGCAGGGCAGACACTCAGCATGGGACTCGGACGCCAGTGAAGATCACTGTAGTAATGGTGTCTGCTTCAGTGATTTCCAGCTTCCGGAGGCATCGGCCAGGTGTGGTATATTCACATAGTAACATTGACCCAAGCAGACCCAATGTAACTATGTATAAGATATCCATACCTGGAATTCCTTTTAAAAAGGGAGTAGATTGGCTGCTCTGGGTGACACAGACAGTTCTTCTTTCAGACACTTTCTTGCATAAGGACTTTTCTTCTTAAAAGGATTGAAAACACAGTTTTGACAACAGCAGCACAGACAATGCAATCTTCAGTCATAAATGAGCCTCACTGCGCCTGGGTGGCTGAGGATAGCGGACGATACCTGGGAAAAGGAGGATCGGGGCCAGGGGGCGGCACAGCCTGCAGCGTCCGCTGATGCAGAGACAGCGCGTCCTTCGTACAAAAGCTCTCATTTCTCAGCCAGTCGAGCTCTGCAGAGGAAGAGACAGGATCAATATCTGTGACAT